GTTACAGTTTTCGACATCGATCTGTTTACCGTATTCCCCTGTGGAACACCTCATGTATGGCTCAGCATTTATTCGATTGCTCAGCGAGGATTATAAACAGTCGGCAGATTGTTTCCGCGATGCAAATCTTATCCAAGAGAAGTGTACAAAGCTAAGAGAGTGCTGTCCAAATTTCGATAGGTACGTTATCTTTTTCCGTTAGCATCGGGGTAGCGTGAAAGGAAGGTAAGGCCACGGCTCGGTGCAAAGATCCCGAACGGATACCAGAGTAAGCCAATCAAGCCCTCCTTCAGAGAGTGAAAGCTTTGAATATGTCATCGCCCTGGGTTGCCTTTATCAGCCTAGTAGAAGAGCTCACCTAGTGCAAGTGAGACTAAGAAGTTCCCTATCTCGCTTCTGTAGTTCCAGTCTTAAGATTGAGGTAATAGGGATGTCTGGAATCGCTAGACTTATACAAGTTAGCCAATCCGTTATGAGATACGGCCAGCCCTTTCATTCTGAACGTAACGATGTCTTCGGAAGCGTATCTTGCTATGCTTGCAACTACCCATGACTTACAACTAGCCGACATACATACAGTTTAGTGCTTTTATCATCCCAGGCAATCCTTGATACAAATAAACCCATCTGGGAGAGATGAAAAGCTTGCTTGGCCTTGGCGAAGATCGGCCCGAAACCACCATGTTACAGTGCGCCACTTGGCTCTCACACCACACCATCCGTCTTAATTATATTGTTTATAAACATCGTGTTATTGATTCAAATCGTTACAGTTTTGTTCAAGGCTCCTTATTTTGGAACCTTATAAACTTCGTATTTTAGTTGTCGTCAAGAGACAATGGATATTAATCTCGAGCAAGCCATTATAAGCAAGACGGCTCGGATGAACGAAGCCAAGCAGAACTGTTTGAAATCGAAGGCTCGTGAAGCGTTCAAAAACACGCTCAGAGGTCAGTTCTTGTATAAGTAGTGTTCGGGAGCCCGGGCCAGTTGTCTTAGAGTACTGACCTATCTCAGGAATTCTTGGTAAAGGAGGTCAAGAAGCGTTGAAAACGTTGAAACGAGAAGAACTGATGCATGATCTGAAACGAGGTGCTCAAGTATTGGCAAGGTTCAGGTGATACTAGGAGATTCCCAGCAATTTTCAAAATAACGACAACTATCAATGGCCTTAATAGGAACTTTGAAAGTCTTTTTTGCAAAGACGTTTTTTAACCTAATTATATTGTTCTAATTCCACAATCGAACTGCAAGTATGGAATTGGAAAGACCAAAGTGTACTTTTGTGTGATTTCTGTATATCCCGTGTGTTGTTTCTGTGTTCTACAGGTATTTCAAATTCTATGACTTTCCACATGTCGCCTCTCAATTCATTCCGAGTGCCTTTGTACTGTAGTCAATTATGTTTTGAGCTTTCTGAATAAACATAAAAGTATTTCGATGCTACAAACCTTTCTTGGAGTTCTCTCACACGTCCAAATCGCCGCGAC